TTTTGGAAATTTTCTAAATTAACTTAAAAATTAAAAAAAAATCTCAGACAAATTAATTACACTGAAGATGAATGGAGAGGAAACACGTAAAAGACAATGTTATTTACCAGCTAGATGGAGGTATAGGACTTAGGCAAACCAGGGTTCAACATGGCGTGCTGGAAAATACATTCTTTATTACAAATATCTACTGATTTAATTAGGCAACTTTTTTTCTATATCTCTCTCTTTTTTTTTTCTTTTTTTTTGGTTTTGCTTATTACTTTGTGGCCTATATATGATGGCTACCTGAACCTAACACGAAATGAGAGTCATATTCGTAGGTCAATGACTCATTCTATCTACCTATATAAAATTCATTGATCAAATAGGTCATATTTTTTTTCAAGTTACTCACAAACTAAAATATTGCATAACACATATACCACCTCCAGTTCTTTTTATTGACCTTTAGAGAGGTTATATACATTTTTTTTATGTGTTTCTCTATTATTTGATTTTTTAAAAAAAAAAAAATTACAATTACCTCTCTCCGTTTTAGTAAGTGTATCCCACTCCCACTCACAGATTAATAATCCGCTACTTCCCACAAAAACTGGTGAGAATGAACTTAATCGTTTGAGTTATTTGTTTCAGAAGGGCCACTTGAATTTAGCTTGATGGCCTCCAACAAATATGTTTTGGGCATGAAAACCAAAGGTTCAATTTCTACTGTCTGCATCTCCCTTTGCTCTCGTAGTTTATGATTTTGATGTCTTACGACATACATTGTGGTAATACATACTAGTATCGAAAGTTACTTTTTTTGTTCTTTTGGAAAAAAAAAAAAACAAAGAATACTAGGGCTGGAATTTTGTTGTACTTAAAACAATTGTAATAGTATTTCATATAGAGGAATGAAAATAAAATTTTGGTGGGATTTTACGTGCATGACTAATGCTATTAACAAACTTAGTTTGGGTTTACATATGGATGATTAGGGTTTATGGGATTTTTATTTTATTGTTAACTTCTTACAGTTGCCCTCACAAAACTACATGATAATAATAATGTATATACATTATGTTAAGAGTCATAGTTGAACCCGATAGATCATTCAGATGAGGGTACCGAACTTGCTGAGTTAATGCCACTAAATTCAGCTAATTAGAAACCAAAGCCGAAATTTATCTCCCGGTAAACATGCCTTAATTAGTCCTCCATACAGGTCTATCTTTCACTTAAAGAGAAGCCTATGTTTGGAAATTTTCATGATGTAAAAGAAAGAAAAGATCAAAAATAATATCTTTAAGCCATGGCCAGAACATATTGTATCTCCTCTGTTTCATAAAAATAAATCACATGGATGTGGACTAATTTTTTGGATAAAGGGCACAAATTATTGAAGTGAAAAGACTTGAGTTTTAATTCCAAAATTTAAAGAGAATCGAGTAGATTAGCCCTAAGTTATTGAACTGTTTGGTTTTATTTGAAATTTTGTTTTTTTAATTCCTCTATGACAGAAAAATAAAAAAAAATAATAATAATAAAATTTGAGGTGATAGGTGTTGAGGGCATACATCATTGCCCATTAGCAGCTAAGTGAAGTATCCATGAATAGAAGTAAACCCTATCATATCATACGCAATATTCATGGATAAAAAAGAGAAGCCACTAATGACCAAAAAACAACAAGTGTAAAACCTTTTTCACCATGAAAAATCAAATTAAAAAATTTTACTGGAAGCTTGGAACGTGAGGGGGAAAACGAAAAACCTAATCACCGCCATAAGTACGTAGCCAAAAGTTCAACAAGTACGTGGCTTATCCTGAAGGAGAGCACGTGTCTCACAGTAATTACACTTTATAAGTCAAAATCGAACCTAATACTAATAATGTTGGGAGTTTGGTAAGATGAAGCTGTCACATGTAATTTTTCTGGTAAATGTATGTCATAAACCGGTACAAAATCGCACGAAGCCACATTCTCTCCTTTGGTTTGAAATAGAAAAAACCCTAATTATAAGAACTGAAGAACAATTGTACGACATCATCCTCCAGTCGTGCAAGCTACATACAAAGCCGTCCCGACTCTGAGTATTCCTCAGAAGAACAAAATCTTTTTTAAAAAAAAAAAGAAAAATAAAAATTGGACTGTTTAATTCCGACATTTAGATTTTATTCCACTGTATGTACATTAATTGCAATCATGGTCTGGTTCAATCGGATTTTCCTTCAACGAAAATCTGTCCTTTTTTTTTGGGTTCAAAAGAAATGATAAAGATCGTGCAATGGGCGGTGCTCTAATTCTCCTAGCAATTTCCGTATGAGATTAAAAAATGGAAAAAGAAAATCCGGGTTCCTATAATAATTTCTTTTTTTTAAAAAAAAAAAAAAGGAAGAAGAAGTTTTGAGGTGCACAAAAGTACCAATGTACTACGTAGTATAGAAACTAAAACATATATAGTATGAAAAAAAAAAAAAAAAAATTCAAGGAAGGCAGTCGTTTTCTGACGCGTATGATCTAAACGTGAGACTCGCCGGAATCAAAGGTGCCTACGAATTAAACAGTTAATCATTAAGTTCAGGTAATCTGGATATTGCTTTACTGCTTTAACTTCTTGGTGGCTTTTTTCTTCTTAATTAAATATATATATATAAATAAAATTAAAAAAAGCCCCAAGATAATTACAGCTTGGTTTTTGGGTTCTGTGGTAGATATTGTCGAGTGTCGACCTTTCACAAGCGATTTTACTAGGTTTGATTCGTTCTTAATTAGCATCGGATGTATGTCTAACTGGAATCTGAGGAGTTGTTTACTTATATGAAAGAAATACATCGAATTTCCGCAATGATGATTTTGACTTGTAGAGAGACAAACCAGGATTAAAATTCTCATCACCAAAGAGATCTAGTATATCAAAAGTTATAAGATGATCAGATCAAAGATTTAAGTATCTTTCAAGAGCAGGCTGATTTTTGCCAACCATGTATCCGCTAGATCATGGCTTGCGTTGAAGATTTTCTTCATTCATCGCCATGTCAAATTCTTCGCTCCTCCCAAACCAAATTAAATATCAATCGTGTCTTACTGTTAAAACGGCATTATCTTATGTAAAGAGAAAATAAGATTTTTATGTTCTCTACTAAGACATTATTTAAGTTTATAGTACATTGTATGCCCATCCCCCTAACACGAAGCCGAAAAGTGATTGAACAATATTTCTCACGTACAAAATGTGTTAGTTTTAATGTCTTGAATTTTACGGGATTTATTTTATGTTAGAAGAGAAGGTTATACTCTAATTTTATCTTGTTAGGCGAGTGGAGGAATTATATTGCATTTTCTACCATTGATGTTATTAATATGTTAGTAGGGACTTGTTTGATAACGTCCCTTAATGGTTAAAATTATTGGATTAAGTACTTTTTCTATTCAGCATGTTTGAAAAATATAAGTAATAAAAATTAGTTTATTACTTATTCTGTAACTGCTTAATGAATAAACATACCCTAGGTCAGGAACAGGTACATTTGTGGTATTCGGGTTTAAAACATGATATAATAGATATGGTTAGATCTATTCAGTTATTTACTATCTGTAAAGTTGATAGAGATAGAGTAACTTTAGCGCATCAGGAGGATAAGCATTGTAATCAAAATGTATAACGGTTAAAATGTTAAGGTTTTTTCAAAAAAAAAAAAAAAAAACCGTTGATGAAATGCTACACTCTAAAACCAGTGCATAAGACATATATATATATATATATATATATATATATATATATATATATCAACCGCACAGGGAAAACTTGATTACCTTTAATTTGTCTTTCAAACTAAAAACAAACTTGTTATACAACATGGGATGTTGGGAGTTTGGGACTTGTACATTGTGATGTAAATTGCAAGAAGGCGGCATATCACATTCACATGAGGGACTTGACTCCTTTTCACAAATTAAACCAAATTAAATTTCTAAACATTTGTGACCATTCTAGACAATGATTAGTTTTCGAGGAAATAGGAGGGAGGGGGCGGGGGGACAAACAGCACGCTCGAGATTACTGTGTCAGGACAATGTCTTTCTTACTCAGCTCCACGACTCCAACTTGCCCTCATTTTATTTTTTTCTTCTTCTTCTAAATTTTATGAACATAATTAATTTTTGTCCAAAGTATTCTAAAACCCAAACCATGATGTCTCAATCCCATGACGCAACCCATAAATCCAGTTTCAGTTTTCAGTTGGGAATTCATGAAAACGTTATCATCATCATTACTAACAATTAGGGACTTGATTAATTAGTTACTACAATTATTCAAACAAAAAGAATGTAGTAGTAATATGTTAGGAATCGTTAGACTATGACACTTGATCTTCTTAGTTTTAATGATTGATTAAGTTATACTCTCTCCTTTCCAAAATAAATATCGTTTTAACAAAATGAAGAAATTCCAAAATAAGCAATTTTAATGACATTTCAATGCACTTTTTATTGGTGAACAATTATTTTAGTGGGTTAGTTGAGGATATTCAAGTAATTTTACTACCTTATTAAGTCTTTCTTAAACTGTGTGCAAATTGTAAAAGGACACTTATTTTGGAACGGAGGGAGCTAACTAATTACGGTTTAGGCAAAGACACTCTACTGACAGAATCAAATGAGTTTAAACTGATGATGACTAATTGCATCAACTGCAGAGAGGGACCCTCTGAGCTGTAATTTAACTGTTTGATGGGACCCATAGTAGACTCATCTGCGATTGGCTAGGGAGTAAATTAAGTGATTAAGACCTTCCCAGGACAGTGATTGATTAGGATTTTTGTTAATTGTTCATTAATTATCCTAATCAAGTCAAATGGTTAACATCATTATTTTTATTCCCTTTGTAACCCGACATTGTATAAATAGATAGACATATCTTGTGACATTAATAGCAGTTTCAGTGCTGTAAGCATTTCCTATTCTACAAACCATATCAGGGATTTTGATCTTTTCATTTAAGAAAGAACAAGAAATGGAGCAACCCATTATCAGTGCTTCTTTCTTTGATGAAGAATGGGAACCTTTGAGCAAAATCTTTGCTATTGATCATCAAGAAGCTGATTTCATGCTGCAGCTGCATGGTGGTCATCACCACCATGAATTGCTGTCAACAAATGGCAGCTGTGATGATCATGTTTACGAGGCGGCGCCGACGAGCATATGGCCAATCATGAACCATGTTAGCATGGAGAATTTTGCTGGTTTCGGGGTTGGGGATCAGGAGAGTTCTTTTCTAGCTGGTTATGATGATACTAACTACCAACATGTTTCTCAAGAAAGTAGCTATAGTACTAATAGTGGAAGTGACAATAATAGTGTTAGTCTATCTAATCTGATGAGTCAAGGGTTTCACCTGACTAATGATCACATCAATATTTTTCATGTACTAAATCATCATCATCATCATCATGACTCTTCTTCTAACCAGTCCATGGAGCTTTGTGCCATGGAAGAGAAAAATGACAACAGTGCAGTTATCAGTGATGCTGTCATGACAGACAACATTGTTTCTCCAAGAGAAGGTCATGAGATGGACAAGGGAATTGCAGAGAATCAGCCTGCAATTGCTGATTCAGGCAGAGAATTGCAGCTCAAGAGGAAGCTTGGTAAAGCTGAAAACCAGACAACTGAAGCTGAAGAGGAACCAAACAATGATGAACCCGTCGAAAGTCCTAAGAAGAAACCTAGAGTTCCAAGAAATAATGTGAGTTCATTTTGGCTGTCATGTAATTATAAGTTTCATTCACATGTCGCACTTCTTGAACTGTCAAGAAGCGCGGTTATTATTTTGGAACGGTAAAAAGCAGATATGAGATTTGATTTGATCATTAATGTAACTCCTATTCCGATCCCAAAAATAATAGTCGCGCTTCTTGTACTGTCAAGAAAATATGACTATTATTTTGGAATAACAGGAATAGTGGATGAAGCTTTTATCATTTTATAAAGGTTAGTTGGTCATTGAATCTGATTGATCATGCAGGCTCAGAAAAGTAAAAAGAATGCTCAGCCAAAACCCAAAAAGAACCAAAAGGCCGCCCAAACTTGCAAGGATGAAGAGGAGACTAATGCTACACAGAATAATGGACAAAGCAGCTGCTCTTACAGCTCAGAAGATGACTCAAATGCTTCTCAGGAATCAAATGGAGGAGGTGAAGGTTCCGAAAACAAAGAGCCAGCCCTTAACTTGAATGGCAAAGCCAGAGCCAGCAGAGGCTCCGCAACTGATCCACAAAGCCTTTATGCTAGGGTAAAAACTCCATTCCTCACCAGCTCTTTCTCTCTTTCCCACCAAAATGATCATGTTTCAAAACACTTTTTTTTACTTTTTTTCTTTTTTTTGGTCTGAAATTGAATAAAATATGATAGATGTGTTGTACCTAACTACAACAAATTTGTATATTATCCAAATACGCCTATTATTAGGGGAGAGGAGGAAGCAATAAGTTTGAGATTATTATGTCGTACAGTAAGTTCATTTCACCTGTTTTGGTCAACTTCATCTTACAGGATTTACTCATCATACTTTGTTTTTGTATTGCAGAGAAGAAGAGAAAGGATCAATGAGAGATTGAGAATCTTGCAAAATCTCATCCCAAATGGAACCAAGGTAAAATTAATATCGAGTAAATGTTTGGACCACCATCAATGAGACATAAGAAGATAACACAGTTTTCTAACAGATTTCATTTGGGATTTGACAGGTTGACATTAGCACAATGCTTGAAGAAGCAGTTCACTATGTCAAATTCTTGCAGCTTCAGATTAAGGTAATTAATTAATTAATTAAGAAGATCATCAAAAAATCTTATGTATATATCTCATGCATGGCTATTTCTGAAAGATTAATTAAGGAGATGTTTTATTTCATTATATTTATCGAAATTTCTTTTTGTAATCTCTGCAGTTATTGAGCTCAGATGATATGTGGATGTACGCACCAATAGTTTACAATGGACTTGACATTGGTCTCTACGGAAGGATGCTCCCAACCCAATGATGATCCATACAGCAGCAAGCTTTATGCATGGATTTTACTTTAATTAGTCTTCAATTATTTTTGGTCTTTTTTAAAATTCTTTTATTTTGCGGCCAAGGGAGAAAAAAAAAACACAACAAACGTAGAGAAAGACAAAAGAAGAGATCGAAACGAACCTAAAATCTGACTTGTAATTCCTTCTCACAATCTCATGTTTTGTGATAGACAAAATAACGTATACTAGATATAGCATTTTCTAAATTATTGCGTACTTTCTCCGTCCTAAAATAATGTCTAATGGGACATTTATTTTAGAACGGAGAGAGTATAATGCATGTACTATATACTTGCACTGTTGCACATGGTGTACTGGAAATGGTACTTTCCCCCGTTCCAAAGGATTAAGAGATTCATGAATCTTATTTAATCAAATCGCAATTATTGATGGTTTTTTTAAATTCCAAATTGTTCAATCACAATTGAATGTATTGGTGAACCCCATGTGTGCAGTCATAAAATATGTATTTCTTCAGCCCACCGTGTATCTTCCAAATCGAATATTTACCCTGTTATAGTAATCATGATGATAATCAATGATTGCTTTCAATAATGGCGTACTTAGCAGTTCGTGCGTCATAGTTTAATCCGAGATTAAACTATTCATATACGTCTGTGTAATTAATCTACGCTTAACAGTTAAAAAAAAATGAAAAGAGAGACATTAATCCATTTTTAGGGCTTTTCTTCCGCAGCAGACCTGGATAGAAGGAAATGTAAATGACTATCCGAAGGCTTGAGTTGTGATTTAAAAGTAACTAGATGCTTGGCCCGGGCGGATGCCCGGGCGATCTCTTAAAATTTATATTTATAATTTTCATGCATTGATATAAGTATGTGTATACGTGGGATAAAATAAGATTATTTCAAACGTGAAAGACAAAGTGTATATAATTGTACTTCACACTTAATAAATGAAAATTCAACAAAACAATCCCTGTTTCGTCTTTTTTTTTTTCTTTTTTGCAGAAATAAAAGAAAGAAAGAACATGCGAAGATAAATTTCTGATAAAGGGAAGACGCCTTCGCTCAAGTGATCTCGAAGATCTCATTCAACACCATGAGCCTCAAAAACCTGTTTGGATCTCATCAGCTATTCCAAGGCCGCCAACTCTTTCTATGCTATAAGATGCATTCGGATATACTAAGGTGGCGCTCAAAAACTTCGTTATAAAATTGATAAATACAGAAAGCATAAAAATGGAGAACTACATTCAACCGGAACAAAAACTAACAAAAAACAGGCCTGAACCTATGTAACAATCCAGCCTTTAATATACTAATACTTTGATGTTCTATTGATTCATGAATACTCATCCTGAAAAAAGAGAAGAATGTACTAATAACGGTTTGTGCAATGTGATATATCTTTTTTGATACAATGTAATATATCTTTTTTGAATATAAATAATACGGAGCAAAAATCAACATCAGATTTGAGAACGCCCAGAGAAAAAGTTTAAAAAAGAAACATTGATCTGCATTGCAATTGCTTGTGAATCTTTTCCTGTAACAGACCCCTCATATCTTTCCTATTAGAAAGTCAATTAACGGCAGACCACTATCATGAGCCATCTGTTGATAAAAATGAGTTGTATACCTGAAATGGGTGCCCCTGAAGCAATGAGAGGAGCTTGTAACCCCGCTATTACTGACATGCCCACACATGACATGCCAAACAAATTGTTAAACTGCAATACTCTTAAAAGATCAAGAAACACGATTCAATTATCTAACAACAAAGAATCCGCTAAACCAGATGATCAAATGGAGAATTCTTGTAAAATTGACAGCTATTCACATTGTGAATCAGAGCTATTCCAATGGTGGAATACTTTGTATAGAAGCTCAACACGGTTTGGATATGATGCCCAAATCACACCATTCTTTTTGCTGAACTCAGAACCAGGAACAACGACAATAGGGAGAGCCATTTCAGATTTGGAAACCATTGGCTGTCATAGTGCTGCTTAACATTTACCACATTACCAAGTCCTGCAAGACAACTGCCGCAACAAATGTGTATATATTTTCAAATGTGCATGATTCCCAACAAATGTATACAAAGGCAAACACAAAATGAAATCACAATATGCTCATAAGATTGGTTTATTTGTATTCTGCTTTAATTTTTAATTCTTTTTGTAATGAGATTCTTGGTTCTAGCTTCTCAAATGATAAGGCACATGCATCACATGAGAAGGGGTTCCAAAACAACAGATATGCTCATGAACAATTACTCATTGGTTTTCTCACATTTGGCTTCTCCATACAAAACTGCCTAGGCTGCAACCATACAAAAAAAAAACATGCATCTAGCAATTTGAGTTAACGTCTATAGATAAATGGTTAGCTATCTATTCTTTTTCCTAATTGCTCATTATTTTCCATAAAGAAAGTACCAACACTTCAAACTTTGCATATAGGACATCCATCAGAAAATACATCTACAAAGAAAATGCAAGTACTTTGCAAGAAAAACTTTGCAACCCACCTGAAGGTTGATTTGTTTAAACAACCTTAATTAAGTTCCTTTGCTGTCATCCCAAAATCGAGTTCCTGCCTGCAATATAATGGAAAATATATTATATAATTAATACCTAGGTTGATCACTTACTACATAGTTTATTCAATTCACTGAATTTCTATAGGAATGAACATGCTGGGAAAAATGTGTATCTTCAAAGGGTTCAACGAAAAAAAAAAAAATGAAAGAGCTTTATAAGATGTACCCGTCATATCAATTGTTTAAGTTCTAGCAGTAGTTTCATGACATAAAACATCCACGTCACTCTCTGTTGCAAAAACAAATCTTCCCCCACTTATTATAAAGGTTGCCATGTCAACAAAATCAGATGCACCCCTAATTTCAATAAAATTGATTTTGAATCAAAAGTAACTCTTAAATAAACATGCTAAACTCAAATAAAAATGCAATCTTCACTACTAAAATCCAAACGGCAACCTTTAAACAGATTTAAAGTTGACAAATAAATTTAATTTTCTTAGCAACATCTACTTCATAAACAAAACTGATATAATCTTTATCCAGAATACTTATCATGTCAAAAGTCTCAAATGCTAAGCTTAGCAACTCTGAATGCTGAAAAATTAAATTTAATCGATATAAATTATCGAAAAAAACCCTCAAATCCAATGCAGGGAATATTTGATGAAGAAAACTCACAAAACACACAGAGTCCAAGCCACAAAATCAACTCGGAAATAAGAATGCCAAAATTATATAACACCAAATTAAGCAAAAACCAATCTCAATTACTAAAATAAAACTTAAAATAAGAAAGTATGCCAACCAACAAATCCATCTGTACCTGGGAAGGTTGCCTTCTCAGTGCCCTTTTTATATGTCTTCTTCCTTTCCCATCAAAGTAAATACATGCAAAATTTCACTTGTAAAAATATGAAACTACCACATATTCGGGCCAAATAACAACAAAACAAAACAAAAGTGTTAATACATACAATTGAAAAAGGTAAGGTACTTATTTAGTTACACAATTGTTAAAGACCTAATTACCTAACCATTATATTACCTTAAATTATCATGATACTGGCTGTAGTACACGTCTGAAACCTTTTAGAAGTTACATACATAATGGTTAAACTCCTATCTAAGAAGGAAAATGATCAAGAAAAGCTTTTCTGATACCCATTTACTCCAATCTAGTATGGCGGCTGCTCTAGGTTGTTGCACCGCAAAAGATATCAAATAACACGGGAAAATTCATGAGAAAGCAGCTGAATTTAAACAACACCGGTGCCTTTTCTTGTTTGAAAACGTTTTTTTGGTCTAAACAACATAAAGAAATATTATAGAAAAAAAAAGGTCCATGAATTCTGTGTATGCAAAGACGCTGTGTGCAATCTAAATGTATGATCTCGTCAGTTGACCCCCAAAAAAATGTACGATATCGAAGAATCAATGAAAAATAAAAGACTTTATTTTACTGGAAAAATACATAGTTATCACTAATCACCTATATAAATTGCTCATGAGAAACTAATTGCAGGAGATACAACATGGTGAAACTACAAATGAACATCATAATTTCTCCTCATTATATATATATGTATCTATTTGCGGCGGTTTGTGTGTGTGTGTGTGTGTGTGTGTGTTTTTCTTTTGTACGTGTAAAGAAAGCAAACAGCGGGATAACATACCTTGTTTCAGAAAAAGAAAAGAAAAGAGGGATAACATACCTCTTTTTTAAGGGCCGTAGTAGCACTGCCATGTTGGGCATGATATATAGAAATTAAAATCATTTTTAGCCTCATAACACATTCACCAACTGACCAACCAACATACACACAATTGATTGAATTTTCGTAAACCTGTTTACTAAAAGCATCCGAGATTAAAAAAAAAATAAAAATTTAAAAAAAATCACGAAAAAAGGGCTAGTGCATACACAAATAAAATACCTAGAATTCTACATGTCTTATCTATATTAGTTTAAATAGCTTTTCTCTTGTTGTAGTTTCTGAAAGTTAGTAAAATCTAAATTTAAAAAATTATTTTCTTGGATTCCTTAAATGTGATCGCAATCCATGTCTAGAAGCCTCTTGTAATTAGATAAATACGAATAATGAAAATAAAAGTTTGAGTCCAATGTACCATATAAAAGTTACAATTTTACAAATTTGATCAGAATTGAGTCCAATATACAGAAATGCAACAAAATGAAACATCAATTCAAACAGAAATGCAGCAATCGAGATGAAAAAACAACAAACCGGATCTTTAAGAGTGGGATGAAGGGTTACTTGAACATTCTTGGCCCGAACATAAAGCATATCACCAACTGAGACTTTGTGAGCAATAAGGAAAGCCTTGGAGCAAAATCTGAGACCCCAAGAGGGTTCCCCGATGCAGAAGGAGCAGATTTGGTAGGCTTGACCATCGATGGTGCATCCGCAATTTTTTCACAAAATCAAGCACGTCTAATGGAAAACAAAATCATCACCAAAACACAAAATTATACCAAAAAGACTGGAGAAACACAACCGCTTCTAATTGTTATGTAAGAGTAAATAACCCGTCAAATTCAAACAGTTAAAGGTATATCAAAAGTAAAATATTTTTCTTACCTATTTTAATCACCGCCGCTGTTGTTAACCTCTCAAAGTGCATTATCCATAGGCCACGTATCTCTTCATTTACAGTCAAACAAAAAAAGGTTGTTGATCTCTTCATAGTCGGACCCTTGCTGTCTTCAAATCCGGGCACTGATGTGTCCGTTCCGGTGTTCTAGGCTGTTCAACCCACCACTGGCCTTGGTATCTATCTGTAATCAGATTGGTTTTTGAAGGCGGCTTTCTTC